TAGGGATCTTGAGGGTGGCCTGAGGCTGCAGGTTCTCCACCCCTGAAGGGGGTAAGTGTGTGAGTGGATAGACTGGAGGGGAGAGAGCTCTGGGGTGAGAGGCTGCCTGTGGGCTTAACTGTCCCCATCATGGCAGGGTTGTGTGACCTTCGAGGATGTGTTCGTGTATTTCTCCCAGGAGGAGTGGGAACTCCTTGAGGAGGCGCAGAGATTCCTGTACCGTGATGTGATGCTGGAGAACTTTGCACTTGTGGCCACTCTGGGTAAGTCCTTGTTTCAGTTAGCTATTGCTACATAGCAAATGACCCTAAACTTTAGTGGCTTTAAACAATACAAACTCATTCTTTCTAGTCTGGTCACAGCTTATGTGTGTGCTTCTATGTCTCATGAGATTTCAATCAAGCTATCAGCCAGAATTACAGTTTAATCTGAAGGCCAGTCTCAGGAGAGTCCACGTACAGGCTCACTCATTGTTGTTTCTAGATTCAGTGCCCTGTGGTTTGTTGGACTGTATTGTGTTGGACAGTATTTGTTCCTTGCTGGCTACTTTCCAGAGGCCTCCCCTCCCTCACTTCCTTCTTTAGTTGGCCTTTTTGTCTCTTGCTTCATAACATGGAAGCTGACTTCTCTTTGAGCAGGTGAGTGAATAAGAGTGTTTAGGGTGGAAGCTCAGCATTGTAACCTAATCCTGAAAGTGATGTTTTATCATTTTTGTCATATTCTATTCCTTAGAAGTGAGTTGGCCAATCTAGCGTACACTCAAGGGGAGAGGCTTACAAAAAAGCAAGAATTCACTGGGGGCCTTCTTAGGGACTGCTGTCCTCAGCCCTCTACCCTGTCTCTAGTGCCCATGGTGGGCTTTGGTTCTTCTCCTGTTCCCCAGTGGTAGCTCTTTCTGTCCAACCAGATCAGTGACTCTTCTCTCTTCGTTTTTAGTTTCCCAGAGTAAGTGCTATGGGTGCCAGGGCTGGTCTGTGTGCTGTGCCTCCTCCCTTGCTGAGTATTCCCAATATCTTTTGCCCCAGAGCCTTTCAGGAAAGTGTTAGGGATTCAAGCATTTTTCAGTCTGCTAATCAGATCCACATAGCTTGGCCACTCACTGGGCTGGGTGACTGTTCTGGTTTCTGGTACCTCTGTGTCCCAGGTTCTATCCCCATCCTCTAGCTGATGTTTTCTGGGGCTCAGCTATCCCAGGAATTGTAGGTACTGGCATGGTAACTTCTTGAGGCAGTCATAGGACTGTTCTGCCAAACCCTTCTTGGAAGGTGTTCCTTTTTAACATTTTGCCTTCTTTTCTGTGGGATGGGTCTACCTGTACCACTCACTTGTTTTTTTGTTGTTGTTGTTTGTTTTTTGTTTTTTTGCAACTTTGATTTTCCAGATCCCATGCAGTTGTCCAGCTGGAGAGGGGCAGAAAGCCTTGAGTGTCAGCACAGATACTACTCCATCTATAGTTAGGGAGGTCTGGAGAGGTTCTACTGAACGGGAACTAGGGTAGGGTGCCATATTAGGGCTGTGTTCAGATCAAACCGTCAGCCTTTTTTGTGTTCACTGGTGTTTTGTTGCCAAGTCCTGTAGTGATACCTTCTTTCTACTTTTCATTCCCTAGTCCTGGTACTTTGCCCATTGTCCTTTTTCTCCTGTCTTCCCTTCTTTGGATATCTCCCTGCTTCTCTGATCTCTGTTTTCCTTGCTTTCCTCTTCTCTCTCTGCAATGCTTTTATAAGGCTGGCTTACTTTAACATGTCTTGACTTGTGTACCTTAAGTAATCCTTTAAAACTAGCTACTTGGCTTGGCGCCTGTGGCTCAAGCGGCTAAGGTGCCAGCCACATACACCTAAGGTGGCGGGTTCGAATCCCCAGCCCAGGCCCGCCAAACAACAATGATGGCTGCAAC